ACTGGCCTTGGAGGCTTAAAACAGTTTTCCTGTGAGGTACCCTTCCATAAAAGTTAGGATACTCAGTTATTGCTCCTGAAAAGCTTGGGTCAATAGACTTCAGTCAGTACTTTTGGCCCTGAGAAGCTTGAAGTTCACAGGCCAAATGTTGGGACCCGAATGTAGCAGTGTAGTTGTATGTCCAACAGATAGAACTTTACTAGGGTTGTTTAACAGTTGGTATTTGCAAACATGAAGCATGAAAGTAAATTTCGTCTGACCTGCATGGCACTTAAAAAAATAAAGTTTACTGGAAAATATTTTTATTTTTAAACAAGATTTACTAAAATATACTAATCAATTTTGACCAACTATTACAGAAAAAAAAATGGACCACTTTATTTACTAAGGCTGTTCTTGTTAAATATTTCCTCTTTTGTAATATGCTTTATCTGAATACATGTCCCTGGAAGAACTTCCATTGGGAATGAGAATTAAAGATCCTGGTGCTTTTTTAAAATCTTCTAGATTTGGAGACTTGTATGTGGAAGAACGGTATGTCTTGATCTAAAAGACGCATTCTGCAGCAGCTTGCTCATTTACAACTTTAGAATATTTGAAAGAAGATATGGCAGCAGAAAATTTTCAGTAAGTTACATGTATATTTTTTTCAATACAGTGATTGCTAATCACGTTAAAATCTTCTGTCTCAGATTTACCATATTTACTTGAATATAAGACAATACTGATTATAAGATAACTTGCCCAATCATTAGATTCTGTAGATGAAAAATGTATACATTTGCTGTAATTTCCCAAGCATAGAATCTAAGTCTGCACTGGAGGTTTGTCTTGGATTTGTTGACCACCTACTGCTACAGCAGGGAAAACCAATCTGGGGGTTCAGGAAGCACCCTCTGCACCTGCCCCCCTCCCCCAACTTCTTCCTGTGACAGGGGAATGTCTCAAGGTCGGTCCAATCATTGGCCTGCCCAGCTGACTCACCTGCCATGCCTTTGATGGAACTGAATAGTTGTTGACAGGTGGGACACTGTCCATTTATTGCCCTGATGCCAAGGGCATAATACACGGCTATGAACCTCCCCGTATACTGTGTCCCATGCCTTGCAGATGGCATCCAAACAGTTGACTCTCACTTGGCCCTTCCCAGGGCCAAACTGCCCCTATGCCGGGCCCCTTTCACACCCCATAACTGGGTCCCACTCCCAATGCCCCTTTTTCTGTGTCCCACTCATTCTTGCCCCACCACGTGCCACGCACTCTGCCCTACCTCTGTATGGCCCTTCAGGCCCCTTTAGACCTACTTCATACAGCCCTTCAGGCGTCCTCTCTCTTGTGCTTGGTCCTGGCCCCTCATAGACCTTCAGACCACCCAATTCAGGCCCTACTGTACAACAGGGCATTAGGCCTATTGTCCCACACTCTGGGCTGACTCTGTCCCCTGGTCTTTTCTGGCCTCGGGCAGCCCAAACTCAGCCTATGGCCCACTCAGATGTCTGTTGACATGCCTGTACCCCAAACCTGTCCCCTCAATGGCGTAACCCACCAGGTCATGGGGGCTGAGGCTTTCTGGTACGCTATCCTTACCTTTCACTGGAAGGGCACAAGTGTGGCATTTCCTGGGGACTGCCCCAGCACACCTTCAGACCCCAGCAGGGTGTAGATTTCAGGTCTTACCCAGGACCAGGAACCTCTTCCTTCCCCATAGTTCCTACCCTACTTGCAGCTCCAGATGTTTTGGGAACTGCAGGCTGAATCATGTTGCTCCTCTGGCTCCCTAGGTGTAACTGCCAGCTCTGCCCCTAGGGCTTGGGTTTATACTAAGGTGGCCCAGCCCTCCTCTAATCCACTGGCCCCCTTCTGTCATGTGACCATCCAATTGGGCCAGACTGCTCCTGCTGGCTACTCGGAGCCTGCCTGAAACCTCTTAAAGTGGCAGGCACAACCTGTGCTCTGCCACATTTCTCTCTGCAGGCTCATCCCTCCTCCTTACTATCACAGGCCCTGATCTCCCTGAGCATATGGAGGTGAGGAACAAATTTGAAAAAAACCTAACCTTGAATAAACATAGCAATTTGCATATAGTACCCATAGACTTAGTTCACCCAGAAATGATGCATTTTATCTTTTTTGAAACTGCTACAAGTTTTAGCACAGGTATTCCATAAACTGTAAGTAGCAGTTTAGCATCTACTTATATCGAGAACAAACTATGTATAATATTAGTCCAAAGCCAAAAGGCTCATGATTTACCATATAGTTCATTGATTAGGCCCCATCAGAGTCAACAGCATTTCAAGCCATGGTGATCCCACAGCTCAGCACTACACAATATGTGTCTGTACTCCAGATACCTCCCACAAAGGATCCGTGTGCTGATTAGCTCCCCACTCATAACTGGAACTGGGTGTTCCTGTCATGAGTCCTGGGACCCTCCAAAAATGTATCTGCAGATGAGGTGCAGGGCAGCCTGGTCTGACTTCACCTCATGGAGGACGGGGCCCCACTGATTATATATGCCAGACTGAGTGAGGGGCAAAAGGGATTCTGGGTGAACTGTTTGGGACCCTGTTTTGTAATGTTTGCCAGACATTTAAGGCTGGTGAAGAAACAGCAATAACTGGAAATGGGCGGGGGGGAAACCCGCAGCTAAGCTGTGCGAGTAAAGAGGAAGTTGAGATGTAAAGAGTTGGTGCTGAGGAGGACTGCACTCAGTGTCTTACCATATGTCATATTCAGATGGGTTACACTAACCTATCTTTTTGGTAGGTTCCCATCAGTATGTTTGCCCTATATGGGCCATGTACTTTACAGTCATGCTCAGTGTCGTCTGAATTTAATCAACTTCATAGTTGGTTTCCACTACTGAGCACATGCTGCATTTAGCAGCAGTTCAAGGATAGATGATGTATTTAATGCCGTTTCCTTGTATACAAATGTAAGATGAGGGGTTTCCCCACAATGTTGGTGAGGGGGGACCTTTTCTTTTATATTTGAGTTGATGGGAGGGGGTGGGGAACTTTGTCTTTATATTTGAGTAAATATGGTATTGCAGTTTTTATTGCTGCACTCTCTGTTGAAGAATGCCTTTTACAATTGCATGCTTGTTTTTAAAAGTAGTGTTAATGTTAAGATATATTCTTAATTGGAGATTTATTTACATGAATCAGATTTAAAATTCCTGTTTAGTATTCTAAGACCAAGACTAGGGTTGAGGATTTGACTGGTCAAATAGTTTGGTCAATTGACTGGTCAACTATCAGTGAATAAAAATTTGTAAAAAACAGACCAACAACAACCCCCACCCCCAACCCACAAATTTTCCATTAAGAAATGCGTTAAAAAACGGTAAAATAATATTTCTGTCAAGAAAACTACAAAAAGATGTAGTGTTGGGTTTTTGTTTGTTTGTTTGTTTGTTTGTAAAAGTGCTATAAACTTTGATTGGTTAAAAATATGCAGTCAATTGTCCAGTTAATTGACTGGCTTACCAACCCTACTCACTTACTCGAGACCATTTTAATTTTTTATTTAATAAACAATGGTTCTGTCAACACATTTCAGTGGGCCCATGGAATTGAATTTTATCTACCAATCTAATTCTTTTTCATTGCTTAATATCAAAAGTCTAGTCTGATACTAATGTATATTTGTCTTTAATTGAAGACCTGAAATGGACTCTTTGGCATATTTAGATATGAGATCCATATGTTTAATGGAAATAACACCATGAATACCATTTAATTAAATCTAATTATGTAAACTGATCTGTGTTTGGGACCTATTTTATTTTTTTCTTTTTCAGTCCTTTTTACTGGGCTCCTGGATGCTTTCAGCTTTGTTTGATCTTCTTCTTGTAGAAGTTGTGCAGTATGTCTTTGGCATCACTATCAGCAGCTTGCCCTCTGGATTGTAAGTAGCTCTTAATGGGCTTGTTTATTTCTAATCATTTTAAATTTGTTTTCAAGAGATTAATTATTACAGATTTAGGGAATGACCTCCTAATTAAACCTTTCAAGTGCAGTTAGTCCTTTTTATAGTGCAGTGTAAAAGTTCTTGGCCCAAACATTATTTTTATAATAATTCTTTTCCAAATATGATGGTACTACTTATGTATAGTAGTATTTTTGATATTATTTTTCCATGGTTACTTTCAATTCTGCCACATACTTTTGAAAGGAGTTGCATTGCAATATATGGCAAAATATTGATATCTTTTCTACCCAGTACAGTATTCCCACATGTTTTTATTAATTTTGCGCACTTTTTTTTTAGTAGCAAAGTTAGTGTTAAAATCCCACAACTAACATTACTGTAGTCCATTTTGCAGGATTCACTCTGTTCCTCAGATGAACTGCTCATGGAGTGGGGGGAAGGGGGAGAATCTTGTGCCCCATAAGAGTTGGCATCTGAGGATTGTGCCCTGCTCACCCTGCCCTAGTCACGGTGACTAGGGCATATGGAAGTTAACATAATAAAAAAGCATGTGTTAGACATTCTAAATTAGCTGTTAAGTGTGTTGGTGCATATCAGTCTTCACAGGGATTGGAGATTAATATATGAAGTTCACTGCTTTGAAAGGTATTGGTGAGATGCTATTTATATAAATTAACATATTTAATTCATTTTAATTATTCTGATTATACACCTTATTCAGATTAAACATTGTAAGTGTAAGGTTGGGTGTATAGCAGATGCTAGCGGTGAGGTGTACTATACCATGCTAAAGTAATGGACATTTTAAATTACTTATCTTTTATACTGCTTTTATTTGATTATAGAATGTCATTAATTTTAGGGTGTTAAAGTGCTGCTGAATCAAAGAGATTTTGGGTAAATGAATGTCAGGTTTCTTTTTCTACGTGCATGATTTTGTTTTAGAAAAAGCTGAACTTATTCTTGCTTTTTGTTCAATTAGACATGTAAATCCAAAAAAATCCCACACCTTTTCAAGTAGGCTAGCCAGTGGTTATATCAAAATACTGCAGATCTGCCTGCTTTATTTAGCATAGATATTGTCACCTTTTTCACAGCTTGAAATATGTATTTAATTGACAACGTATTTGCGTGTCTTCTTCACTCAGAAGATAGATTTTTCAATATCCAGGTTCATCTCAGATTTACATATTCCTTTAGAACAGGTAGATGCAATATTCATGTTTTCACTATATGGTATACTGCTTGTTTAACAGTTACATTATAACATATATAAAAGGTCCCAGTATTGCTGACTATAGAACGTTTTCCAGTGTGGCTTGAAAAATGGCCCTTAGTAAGCATCACTGGGTTGCATTACAAATCTGTCTTGCGTATTATATCATCTCACTGTTTATATTACTCAGTGATCGTAAACTCCCACATCGAAAACTCTTCCTACGTACGCTTCGCAGATAATTACGATAAAGCATAACGCTGATGACTCTAGCCTGAAATTGTTTAGAAACTATATAGTACAGAATAATGTCTAGGCAGGTACTGAGGTTCATGAGGAAGGTGGTAAATGCTGCCCATGGATTGTAGCTCTTGTTTTCGCCTTGCAACATCAGGAATGCAAAACAAATGTGGAAGGGTACAAAGCAGACAAGCACTTGCACAATCAAAGTAACTATAATTCTTATAGATCTCTCCTTGGCCTTGGGTTTCAGTTTAGAAGTCCTGCCATGGATGAAATTGTAAATAATAACAAGGTAGCATCCAATCATGATGAACAGGGGAATCAAGAAAAAGAAAATCAAGCGAGAATAGTTTAACATATTGACTTCCTTTAGGTGAATAATGTCGAGCATCTTTATGCAGGTGGTAAAATTTGAGGCTTTATCTGGATCTGAATTTAAAAACAACAGAGGGGAAGTTGATGCAAGGGTCATTATCCAGATGCCAATACAGGCTATCAAAGCTTTGCTTGTATTTTTCAGTTCTTTCACATGTTTTGGCTGGACAATAGCCATAAATCTATCTACGCTTATAAAAGCAAGCAACCACAGAGCAATGCTTGGATAAAACACAGTGAAAGCACTGACAGTCCGACAAAACAGATCTCCAAAAGGCCAAATTCCTTTCCCATAGTAGGTTATCCGGAAGGGCAAGGATAATATAAAAATTAAGTCGAGGAATGCAACGTTCATCATGTAGACAGTTATAGTTGTTCTTTTTTTGGTAGTGCAGCTGAAAACCCATAGTGCTGTGATATTTACTAATAATCCAATGGTGAATACAAAGATATAGAAGACCAGGGATGCAATCCGGTATTCTTCGGGGTGTTGACTTCCGGGCATAATGTTTTGGTTGTATCCATTCATTGTCTTTTTTTTCTCATACACTTTTCCTAAAAGCAAATAAAATGAAGTATGAAAAGTGAAATTACCGTCAAAGGGACTTAAAGCGTCACATAGAAACTTTCTTTTTTTTTCTTTTTCTTTTTTTTTAAAGTAATTGTGGTTAAGGAATAATCACCTACACTGTGCTACTGACTTTTATCTATTAATGACAGTCTCTGTCCCAAGAAGATTACATACGTCAGACTTGTGGATGGAATGATGCGATATTTAATAATTCAAAAAAGAATAATTTCAGTTAAAGAAGTGTAACTAATATATAGCGTGTAAAGGGAAGAAGAAAAATACATATCTAAAAATGATGTCTTGGGTTCTAAATACAGTATTCGTTTCCCAGGCTTTAAAATGTACTAGACATATATGAAAGAGAGGATTAAGCTTAGAGCCATGTTGTTTTAAAAAAATTGGGATGAGGAATGAACCATGAGCAGAACCTCAAGGTGATGACCTTCTGAGCAGTTTAGCTGCTGGGAAAAGTGGGTATGCTGAGACTGCTAGCAACATGCTGTCCCAAAATGAGGTGCTGGCTGTCTCTCTTATGTCAGTCTCTTGGCAATAAGTGCATGGAATTGTAAGTGTCAGTGCACTAGCTCATCTGCTGAAAGGAAAAAGGAGGTGTCCTTCTTTCTTTAGTCTACTTAGAGACTGCTAGCAGGGAAGAATAAATCTATTGTAGTCTTTTCTTAGGCCTTGGGCAGACATACCACTAAAATATGGAGTGCTTCAATGATGGAGAGACATGTAGCCCCTCAATGGACCTGGGAGGCCCTGCCCCCTGCCTCCCCACTTCTGGAACTGGAAGACTAGAGGCAGAAAGGTGTTCAGGCATCCTTGCTCTCCAGCCCTGTAGGTGGCTGAGGGCACAGGAAAGTGATCATTGGCTGGCTATCCTGTTCTACCTCCCACCACGGAGGGGAGGGAAGGGTGGAGCACCATGAGATGCTGGAAGCCTGAGAAAACCCCTGTCATACTCTGTAATGTGTGCAGATGTAATTGGAAAAGGTTCAAAATGAGGCACTTCAAAATAGTTCATCCAGGGTTGGTTTGGGGTTTTTTATTGAGTGCTTTGGCCATTTTCAAAGCACTTCATTGTGCACATATGTCTATCTGCTTGCATTTTGAAGTGGTTCAAATGTTATGTCTGTCCAGGACCTTAGTCTTTTACTGATTTTGTAGATGGCGTGGTCCACTTCGCTTGACCCTTGACTTAGCCTTCCAACACATCTTCAAAGAGAGTTTCACTTATTCTGTATTCCTCTCTCAGTTCTCCTTTTTTTCCCTTCTATTTTTTCATTTTGGAGAGGGTTGAAATCTCCTTGACAAAAGTTAATACCTGATGCTGCTAACAGTTTTCCTAACAGCAGGAGAATGCAATTTCTGTAAGGTTATCGGTAGCCTGTTCGTTTTAGTCTTGGAAATGAAAGATGCATTTTAATAGCAGCATAGTTCACTCTTATGATATATTTTTTGTATTTTATACATCAATGCATTGTTTATCATGCATATAATTTAAGAACATAAAAGTTTCCCTAGAAGATCACAGCAGTGGTCTATGTAGACCGTTGTCCTAGTCTGACAACACCCAATACCAGATGTTTTCAAGGAGGGTACTCCCATCCTGAACAGTTATGATGTAACATACCTACATAGGAAATGTCTTCCAAAGTCCTTTAAGTTAAAGGTTATGTTTTGCCTTGGAAATATGAAGTTTTATTTATTAGTTTAATTTTTGGTTCTCCATATTAAAACTGTAAAATATTTTGTAATTAGTATTATAATTATATATGTAATTATATATTAATGCCTAAGGCTGAACTCAGTCTCAGTGATGCTTTTTGTGATAATCAAAATGTTGCTGATTGGTCTGAAGAAGATTAGGTCACTAAAGGAAAAATGTTAATGTGAGGGCCATAAGGTAAAATGGAATTCACACCTCAGATGGAAAAAATGTATAGTGTATTGATGAGGAAAGAGGTCTGGAGTGGGTTTAAGAAATGCCTTTTGAAGTAGTCATGCAATATGTGGGTAAACTAAAAATAAAATGTCAAGATACCAAAGCATAACAAAAGCCCCTGAAGAGGAATGCTGTTAATATGGTGATATTTTATCTATAAGACTGTCTAGTTTAGATCACTTTTTCATAAGAAATTCTTATTCAAATATCATTAAGACAATTCTGTAAATATAATGATGAAGTATTATTGGTCAATTTAAATGGTCAAAGCAGTCAGAAAAATAACATTACTAAGAATACAGTCATTTTTCTACATAAAGAGAAAACATTTAGGGTAGTGAGTATTCTCGTAAACTTTGTTTTTTCTTTCTCGTTATAGTTTTAGATTGTGTACTGTTAATGTACTTTTTATCTTGAGATTCGGGGTCAATTATGTAACTATAGTGATTATGTTGTTCAACAGTAATATATACTAGTCTGCTTATTTACACTTGATGTTACCTGTGACCTGTGGCTTACTTGGAGGTCTTTTCAATCTATACAGTGTAGTATTTTAAGATCTACAAACAGAGTTTTTTTATTGTTGAAGACATTCTTTAACTTAATCAACTGTCCATGGTTAAAATGAATGTTAGTCCTGTAATCACAAGTCCATTCTAAATATAAAAGTTAGAAATCTAACATTTAAGCACTACATAGGTAAGAAATAAATAGATTAAAACAATCAGTATATTTATTCTTGTGTGTGCATAAATGTGTTTATTATTGAATTGTAGACATTGCTGTTTGCACAGTATTTGCATTTGATATTTATGGGAGATCAGCACACACAGATCTTCATGTGCACCTGAGCTGACTGTTTTCTCCCAGACATTGATAGTGATAGAAATGTTTAATTGGTTAAGTTGAATAAAGTGACTTATAAGATCTTAAAGGGGTCATTTTTCCAAATATTTTAATTAATCATATTTTAATAATTAGTGGAGTTCTTAAGATACTAATTAAAAGATTTCCCTGAACCATTCAGATTTGTTGCTTGTTTTTTTAAATTTATTTTTATTTTTGTTGTTTGTGTCTATATTTAATAAAGAAGGTGAAGTTCCAACTCGGTGCTACATATGAGACTTAGAGGACAAACTCAGAATTGTTTTTTTGCCTCCTGGTTTTGACTGAGAGTTAGAGCTAGCTCTCTTGTTTGTATATCGAGCTAAACCACTTACCGTTTTAGTGCTTGCAACTATGTAATTGCTTTCTTAACCACCCCTCTTCTTTCCTAAAATGTCCTCAAAGAACTTTGTTAGTTTGGGCTTATTTAAGGTTATCAGTAAAATCTGTCCAAATGTAATTCAGTGGGAGCAAACAATTTTACTATATAATTATAAACTATTTGGGATGGATGTTACTTTTAGCAACTACTTACTTTTAACATACAGAACAAGAAGCTTATGTGGCTGCATGTATTCTTGAAAAACATTTGTTTTGCTTAAATGTAGAGTTGCACAGTAGAACTGTATTTAAAAAGTTGAATTGTGGTAAGTACATTTCCTTTTAGTAGTTCTAGAAAGCATAGCATTGTTAAATTCATATTTTTAAAGGCAGAAGTCAGTCTTAGTAATTTATATAGACATCTAAATTACCATTATACTCGGTGTGAAAATAATTGATCAAACATTACTTACCTTCTGCACGCTATAAAATTACTTCAGAGATGCTCATTTTTTAACCCCAGATCTGCAAAAATGTTTAGACTTCCTTCTCTCTGTTCACTTCACTGTCTTAAAATAGAAGCCCTTCTTTACCGGCAGGAAATGATGAAACAATGTAGCTAGTTCTGACTTAATTTATTGGTTATATTAATTAAAAAAAATTGTTAATGATATATCACACAGGATAACTCTTCTTTTGACCTTTCCGTACTGTCAGCTGACAGTTCTAGCCTCTTTCAGTGTGTGTGCTTTTATGATGTTCCTTGTTTCAGAATTGTGTGTGTGTGTGCATGCACATGTGTATGTGTGTGTGTTTTGGGAACATCAAAAATGTGAAACAAAGTACTTGCATAACAACCAAATTATGTTAAAAAAGGAAGTTTTTATTAAATGTGATTTAGATGTGTTCTGCACAGACTGTATTTACTCTTGTGGAAATCCCCATTGTGTTTGCATTGCATTGAGCTGGTAGTCAGTTTGAAAGTGAGAGAAATGCATTGCATTTGAAATAGGAAGTTTAATTCACTCACATACTTAGCTTGTTTTTCAGCTATATTTATTTGATCATATTGGAAAAATAGTAATTCAGTAATGCTTTACTTACTTTAGAAAATGATGCTAACTATGCCTTTTCTGAGTGTTCACCAGATAAATACATTTTTTCACAGAATGGGAAAATAAATATTTAATTTTACCTGAAATATGAAATGGTCTCCTCTGAAATGTTATATTCAAGCTTTTTATTATGCCACAAAAAATTACTTTCTCAGGGCCAAATAATTAAAAATATGTAAAGAAAATCTTTTCCATTTTATTGAAAAGATATTTCATGTATTATAGTGAACTTTACTGTGTAGGGGAAAATCTTGAGTAGGGCAATGTAATTCAATGTGTAGGGGAAACTTTTTGTTTAATTTTACTTTTGAAAATTCCCAATAAGGTCAATGGGAGTTTTGGAAGAGTAAGGGCCAAATAATATTTGCAGGATTTGGTCTTTAGTAAAATGGGATGAAAGCTCTAAACTGCCTTATTGTAGTTTAATAGAGACCCTTGTCTCTGCAAAATAGCTCTGCATCACTTGTCTGTATAAAATAGCTTTATGGCATTAGTCAAAAGGTTTATCTACTTTAAGAACTGCTGCCCCATTAGTTGTATTGACACAGCCCCCTTGTGGATACATGATCTACAGCATCAGAAGGGTTTTTTTTCCATCTCCCCAACTGACATGAGCAGAAGCTCTCTTACTGTTACCATAGTTGGATCCAAATTGGAGGGGCTTTGCTGGCAGATACCTGTATCCAACATAGCTATACTGGCAAAACTTTCTAGTGTAATCAGACTTAAATTGAAGTGGATAGACATTTACATTGCCTACCTCAGTGTGTGAAGTTGTCTAGTCAGAGAAGAAATGGGTTTTAAAACTATACGTTAATATATAGGTTACTTCAGATTTTTACATTAGTATTAGATTTTTCTGTTGTAGGGTACTTAAACTCAAACAATATATATGATATTTCCAAAGCCCTTGCAAATACAATGAGCATTAAATCTACCTCTTTCCCCCTCTCTCCCCCTCAACAGCCAGAGCATTCTAGCTACCCAGGATAAGTGCTCCTGGGGGTTTAGTTTTAAAAGTTTCACTGTAATTATTTGTTTGTAAAACATAATCTTTCCAAACAATGCTTAATCCTAAAGACTGCTACAATTTAAGAATTACAAGGTGGTTGTCAGTGCTGTAGTCCATTAGCATTAAAACCCTGGAATCTCTATAGTGCAGTGAATCATTTGTACAGTGCTTTCAGTGCAGGTAAGAATTCACTGAAATGCAGTGTTACATGTTTTGTGGGGAACGGAGTGCTTGTTATGCCCCTTTGACTCATTCACAAGACTTACAGATATGATTAGGCTGTTCAGCTGTCACTCCTCCCCATCCAAAAGAAAACTTTATTTGACAAGTGCCATACACATGTACAAGTAAATGGTTAAGTAATACACTTCCTAACAAAACTTAAAAGGTATCTGTAACAGGGTCTTTGCTTGAGGGGTGGCCGTCCTGCCCTTGGATTACCATTTTAGTCCTTGGCCTTGTTGCCTCTCAGGCAAAACTCCCTTTCCCTCCCCTGCCATGCCTTGTTGGTATTAATCTCTAGGAAATGGGAGGCTGCCCCAGGGCTTCCCAAGCCTGATCTTGCCTTAAGGGCTAAATTGCATGGCTCCATCTGCCTCCACATCACGCCCCATGCCTCACAGGTGTTATAACTCACTGATGTTCATTCAGTCTCTAGTAGGCTTGCTTCTCCCAGGCACTTTGCCTCTCTCAGCTACTCCTGAGTGCTGCCTTCCTGCTTGGAGTCACACACTCTGCCCCTTCTGGGCCTCTGGTCTCACTCTTCGCCACTCTCTGGGCTCCTGGACCCTCTGGTCCCACTCTCAGCCCCTATCTGGGCTCCCAGACACCTTACTGGGCCCCTAGGGACCTCCTCAACCCTTAGTCCCTTCCCCAACCTCCAGAGTTTACCCCCAGCTTCGATGTTCAGGCAGGAGCCCTGCTATAGGTCTGCTGCCAGGAGCTCCTATCCCTGTGGCTCCTGGGACTAGATTGTCTGACCGGCTCAAGCCCTGAATTTATATGCCTCAGTCCCAGCCCCCTTCTGGTTAGGTAACTCCCCAATCGGCCCCTGCTGCACTTGCAGACTGGTTTTCATGCAGGCTCTCCTCTTAAAGTGACAGGTGCATGCCAAGCACCCTGTTACAGCAGAGGTTGTCAACCAGGGGTATGTATACCCCCAGGAGTACTTTGGAAGGCCCTAGGGGGTATGTTTGGGCGGGTGGGGATGGAGCACTGCCACCCGTCACTCTGCACCGCCACCTCCCAGGAGCAGGGGGCGGGGGAGGACAGGGGCGCCCCTCTGTGGGCCTCACAGGCGCAGCCTGCCTGGCCAGACCGGGGGCGGGGGGAGGAGCTGGTAAGCGGCTGCCTCTACCCACCACCCTGTGCTACCACCGCTCCGCATCCAGCTGCGCACCCCCCACCCCTCACTCCACATCCAGACACGCACCATCCCCCCTTGCTCTGCGTCCGGCTGCCGGGGGTACACTTATAAAAAAACCCAAAAAAACCTTCAAAACCTCTGTGATACAGTACCCATTTAATTAATTACTAGTTTGAAAGCAACCAGTTACTGACTTTGGCGTTGGAGGGATTCTATTCAAAGAATTGTCTTGGATTGCTGTTCACATTAAAAAAAAATATCTGGTGTTATTTTCTTCAGATGAGCAGGCAATCAAGACTGAACTACCATATACTTGCTTTCAAAATTAATGGAAACTTTGCCAAAGGTTTCCTTAATCATCTGCGCTGATGTGCCAAACAAAGGCTGTGATGATTTGATAGGTGCTGCCTCTGTTGAAGGGAACTGTCTGACACTTGGGTTAGGATTCCTCCCTTAGGCTAAATACAGAGGTTCAAAAGCCCCAAGAATCGATTCAGTCTCTGCAGATTTTTTTTAAACTGTGTAGATTAAACTGATAACAAAATGACCTGACAGTCAGTGTTTGGGTGGCCAAGACAGACAGAAGCCTGCATTGGCCCAGGCCAGGCCTGGGGGTAC